GTGTGTGTGTGTGTGTGTGTGTGTGTGTGTGTGTGTGTGCGCGTTTGTCGATATAGATATATAGATATTTATGTATATATGTGTATGCATGTCACACACCATTTGATCTCTCTCTCCCTCCCCTCCCCTCCCCTTTTTCCCTCCTTACCTCCTTCAAAATGTACCACGTACATAATATTCATTCACCCACCCCTAACCTAAGCAGCTCACAAAGCACACCATACCTCAACCAGCTGATGATACATCAGAGCGTCTCCGTACCAGTCCTGCTTCCAGCCTAGTTTCTCCACAACGTTGAGGATCATGCCGACCACAGCGGCGCCGGACGGAGGGGGGAGCCCGACCACGGTCAGTTCTGTCGTAGACAGTTGGAAGAACAATTATTTGTGAGACGTACTGACAAAATGAGTTACTTCTCTCTCGCATTCCACAAATGGAGATATCAGCAGAAAATCCATACTGGGGTCAAATCTATAGATTTTAAAATTCATGCCACTTTCTGTAAGTTTGGCATGTCTTGTATCATCGCATACTTATAAATTGTACAAAAGCCATTTATAAATTTAAAGTATCTATTTCCATAGGGAAAAAACCTGAGAAGTCATTTTGTCAGGACACCTCACATTTTTCACACCACTACAGGCGACAAGGACCAAAGACTGCTGTGAAAATACACTTGGAGAATGTGATTTCTTTTTATTTGATTTTTTCAATTTTTCAACACTTACAGAAACAAAGGCTCGTATAGTGAAAAACCTTCAAGTACCGCACCAGTTTAGGATGCTAAAGCAGTGGTAGAATATTACTCAATTTTAAAGACCTTGGCAGCCCTACAAACACACGTTAAAAAATCATAGAGGTTCATCAACCATTAAGCCATGACACAGAGTGACTTCCTTTGGTATTTACTTCAGAGCAGTGCGTCCGTTCGCTGCTTGGCTTAATCATGTTTAGTGTGCCTGGTCGAGTCGGCCACTGCAGTCGCCAGCAGTAATGAGCGCATACTATGGCCTGATGTCTAAAGTCACTGACGGTACTATAAGTGTTAATGTAGGTGTCAGGCCTGGTAACTTTTGAAAATGCAAAATAGGGAAAATCAGCGTGGTGCGCAGCGTGATAGGTCATATTCCTGTCACACTCAATTTGTTTATATTTATTTTATATATGCATTTATGGCCAAACAGGCAACACTGAGTCGGGATCGAGTAAACATAGTGCGCAGATTCGATTGCCAGGTTTACTTGAGCATTACATGTAGCCGAACCGTCAAACAGTAAAGGGCGCACGACTGATCTGGATATTTTAGTAACACACGAGTTCCGGTATCGTCAATTTCATTCTTCATTTTCGTGCAAATAATTGAAATAATACTAATATAATAGCACGGCTCCGAAATTGGGAAATCGAGACTGTCGCGAAGTCGGGAGCAGCGCATCTAATTCGAGAAATTCCTGACAAAATTGGGAAGGTTAGCAGGCCTGAGGTGTTTTATCCCATCCCCCCCCCCGGGACATAATTTAGATCACTCAGGTATAGCAGGCCCTAACCCTGTCTGTCTGTGCCAACCAAGGCTGAGAGGGATACGACATCCCAGCAGAAAAACCCCCAAGACATTCGAAAAAGTCTTTCCAAGCAAACTAAAATGTTCTGAACCGACAAGATTTTTAAAAAATAAAGTAAAAATCCAATAAAATAACAAAACATATACAAAAAATTCCACTTTTGATAGATAATCCCTGATTGGGTAATTTAGCCAGCGACAGACAACAGCTAGCTCTACTGTATGCCTACCTTTGAACGTCGAGGAGATCACTGATGGAAAAGAAACTGTATAATTTTTTAGGTCTTCCTCTGTGATTATTCCCCCTTGTTCTCGCATCTGGGAAAAGGAAAAAAAAGAATTCGTTTGTTTCAGTAGAGGGTTTACTTTACGGCGCCCGCAACTACATTAGGTCATAGGAGCGCCAAGGGGCGGGTGTCAACAGAGAAGTCTTTATAGGGAATCAGGCTAACTCTGCTCACCTCTCTAGCTTCAACAGCACAAAGTCTGCTTCGATTATCAAGGCACCCCGGAAATAGCGGGTCACAAGAGTGTGACAAACATACACAAGAAGTAGAGGGAAAATGATGATAGTAAGGACAGAGAGTCTGGTAAGGATTAGGAAAGAAAAAGCAGCAGTTCCCTGTTGCAGTTCAGGCACAGTTATGAGCAAGACATTGTTGAATCAGCCCATTTACAATTCTAATGAGCATAAGAACAAGTTAATGTCCCCCCTTTGAGAATGGCCTAAAGACATTTCAGTCAGTGGCACCGCCCGGGGGGGGGAGAACAAAAGATATAATAATAATAATAGTTAATAACGATTGCATTTATACAGCATATATAAATGCTCTGCAGCAAGCTCAATACACGTTACAACTATTTTTACCCCTGCAGATCCAAGACCACTCATAAATGGCGCTCATATGACCTTATGCAGTTGCGAGCGCCGTAAAACCTCTACTAAAACAAACCACTCATAAAGATTCACAATGCACACAATGCAAGCAGCCAGTTAAGCACTAAAACACTAACAAATTGACCAGATCTTTCACCATCTACAGCCAGGTACCCTGCTCATCCAAGAGAAGTTAGAACAAATCATGCACAGTGCATTTCCCAAGAACACAACTTCAGGCCCCTGACAGGGTTCAAACCCACAACCTCTGAGTAAACTGGTGCGGTACTTGAGGGCTTTTCCCTACATGAGCCTTCAGTACCGTAAGTGTCAATCACACCATCATCAGCGTCTTAACTGTGAGGCGAGCGGGCAAAATGAGTTACTTCTCGCAATCCATGAATGGAGATGGCCAGAAGATTTTTCTATTGATGCCATACTCATTAAGTATAGATCTAACACGTCTTTTATTATTTCACACTTCTAAATTGTAAAAACTCCAGCTATAAGTGAGACACATCTATTTCCATCTAATAGGGCTCAAATCCGAGAAGTAACTAATTTTATCAGAACGCTTCACAATTCATCACATTGTTGTCAGGGACATACTGACCTTTTGTTTTAGTAAGGTTTAACATCGCTCGCAACTGCATAAGGTCATATGAGCGCCAAGGGGGGGGGGGGATGTCAAGAGAGAAGTCCTTACAGGGAATCAGACTTACTCTGCTCACTTCTCTAGCTTCAACAGCAGAAAGTCTGCTTCAACTATCAGAACACCCCGGAAATAGTGGGTCACAAGAGTGTGACAAACATACGAAAGAAGTAGAAGAAAATGATGATAGTAACGATTAGGAAAGAAAAAGCAGAAGTTCAATGTTGCAGTTCAGGCACAGTTATGAGCATGACATTGATGAATCAGCCCATTTACAATTACAATTCTACTGAGCACAAAAACTCGAGATGTTAATGTCCCCCCGTTTGGGAATGGCCAACAGACACTTCAGTCAACAGCTCCGCCCCGGGGGGGTACGTACATACTGACCTGCTTCACAAAGGGCTCCCTCAGCCTCCCCGAGTACAGCGCGTCTGGGTCTGCCTGGATCGCCCGCAGCGTGGCCACCATGCCTGGGAGCGTGATGTTGTCCTCCATGGTCTTGAACTCACCATTCAGCAGCAACACCCCCCGGAGGGAAGTGCTTAGATCTGCTTTGTTCAGCTTGTGGAAGACATCTTTGACTGAGCAGAGAAAATGTTTTTCTTTTTTAAATAAATAAATAAAAACATGTTGCCTAAAATTCAGAAAACTGGACATCTTTGAAAGAGCAGAGCAAAAAACAAAACAAAAAAACAAAATAAATATGTCGCACAAAACTCTGAAAACTGGACAACTTTGACTGAGCAGAGCAAAAAACAAAACAAGAAAAATTGCACAAAATTCCGAAAAATTGGACATACCATCTTTGATTGAGCTGAGCAAAAAAAAAAACCCAAACAAACCCAAACGTGTCACATAAAACTGAAAAATCGGGCATCTTTGACTGAGCAGAGGAAAAAAAATCAGTGTCGCATTAAACTCCAAACATAAGAAATCTGTTAAAAGTAAAAGTTTTACTTAAAAAAGGCAATTAAGAACCAAAAGGAATTTTTAAAAAATGAATGACACTGTAATTCATAATGTCATCTAATAAAAATACTAGTTTTTTCTGTCATTGGCAGGTGGGTGAGAATACCATTCTCATGTCTGTCCATTCAAAAACTATTCATCATAATGTGTGTGTGTGTGTGTGTGTGTGTGTGTGTGCGTGCGTGTGTGTGTGTGTGTGCGTGTGTGTGTGTGTGTGTGTTTGTGTATAATTTGTGTTTGTTTGAGTGTATGAGAGTGTGTGTGTGAGAGAGAGAGAGGGAGAGAGAGAGAGAGAGAGAGAGAGAGAGAGAGAGAGAGAGAGAGAGAGAGAGAGAGAGAGAGAGGGGGGAGCACACACACACATACACACACACACACACACACACACACACACACACACACATCACTCATATACAGTCGAACCTGTGTAGACGGAATCGCAAGGGAGGCAGAAACAAATTCCGTCTTGACAGGGGAATTTCGGGGAAAATGGAAGGGGGGGGGGGGGTTCAAAGGCCCAGCTGGTGGGATCAAGGATCGCTTGTCTGATCGGCAAGCAGTGGTCAAAACTTCACACCTCTCAGCTGCTATCCTGTCTGACAATGTCATGCGTCAGTCTTACTTATCCAATTACCACCAGTGCTTGCCTTTCATAGGACCACTGTTTGACCTACTAAAAATAGAAACGTTTCAACATCTCCTTTGCTTCCACCCTTAGCCCCACCCACAGTTGTAACAAGCTCAGTCAAACAATGCCACCCCTCACTGCCATCATGTAACAACGATTCGAGGAACTCTTTTCTCGACCGTTGAAGCTACAGCGAGCATGTAGCACATCTCTGTGATTGGCTGAAATATTGAGACGTATTTCGGCCATCTATTTTTGGCGTCGCGCGGGGTTTCCCTCGCCACTTGACCAGATCTCGCCGCGGGCCGTCGCGCGCACACTGGGCCTCCACGCCAGGTTGGTATCATCGCCGACTGATGTTTTCTCGACTGGCGTAAGACCAGGGCGGTAGGCATTGGTCAAACTAATTTCACACCTCTGGCTTCTTCTGGCTCCCCAGGAAAGTTTCAGTAGTGGCTCGCTACTCGAGCACTCTCACGAACAGTCGTGAGATTTCACACCCACACTACACTGACCATCTGCATCGCTCAGGGCTCACATGATGGGGTAACATCTACCCCCAAATTGCACCCCTACTTCCCTTCCTCTCCTAGCAGCATGGCCACGGCGTTAAGTTTAGAGCAGGCGCAACCAAATTTGCGAGTTTTGTTTCAAATCAGGGCTGAGCGGGCAAAGCATTTTCCGTCTTAGACAGAGGTGAAACCATCGGCAAGGAGCGGATTTTTCTTTCCGTTTCCGAGTTGGATAGGTTTCCGTTCTATACAGATAATTAAAGAGGAATAAATCAAAGGAGAAGCGGGGAGATTCCGTTAAGACAGGTTTCCATTTTATACAGGTTTCTGTTAAGGCAGGCTCGACTGTATATATGGTATAAATTAACACACACACACACACACACACACACACACACACACACACACACACACACACACACACACACACACACAACACACGCACACACAATGGTTCGCGCTCCTGCACTACACGGCCCCACGGAAACATTCGTGGCTTGAGATTATGCAATATAGTTGCCTACAACATATTGGTTGATAACAGCTTATAAAATATCATATTGGAAACAATAATAATATTTTGGTTGCGGTTGATAACAGTATTGCATTCTTTTCATGGGTGGATGGCGGGTGTTTGGGTGTTGCTGGATCCTTCTTTCGGATCAAACATGATCTATCGATGTTATTTCTTTCCCTTTTTCTGCCCCTTAGTTACAAATCTTATCTCTTAGACATTCTAATGGCCAAATTGTGTTGCGAGTACATTGTACAATTGAAGAACCTGCTAAAACTTAACGGATAATAAAATAAGTGCTGTCAAAAGATATAGTGCAGAAGACATCTCAGCGGTAGGCCTATCCTCGTTAGCATTTGGAGTACGGGGCCTTTCTAAACAATTCGTTTTCGGTGAAAGATATCGGAACCACTTGCATGACAAGTGCCAAAGCAACATATGCCTCCACTAATTTGGTAGCAGGCATTATGCATTATTGCAGGTAAACAATTCATGTCATTGTGTTTGAGGATGAGAGAGAGAGAGAGAGAGAGAGAGAGAGAGAGAGAGAGAGAGCGAGAGCGAGAGGGAGAGAGAGAGAGAGAAAGCGAGAGAGAGAGAGAGAGAGAGAGATATCATAGATCTAAATAGCTACAAGCTAAAACTAACAGTTTACCATTCATGTCATTTGTTATAAAAAGAGGAAAAACCACTCTGATTGCCAGTTCCCCCTCCTGGTCCCCGCTGAGGGAGGAAAGGAACGATCCTCAACGAGACACGGCCTGACTACGAGAGCAGTAGTCATGCCAGTCTCAACTTCACGCTCAGAGGAACTGGCGTAATCTCGTCATCGTGGTTTACGTGCCGATCGATTTTACTCGACGTCTCGGCAAGACATACTTTAGAAATGATCCCTAAAAGTATGATCTTAATCTGTAATGAGTTCCTCAAAATCTCTTACATTTCAAATGATGGCTTTTCGTAGGGTTTTCACATTCTCCCTTTGGGGAAAGTTAATCTCATATTGTTAATGTCTGTATGCTAAAAGGGAAAGTATTTTACGAACAGAGCTGGGGCAACATGTTGAATTTCTCGTTGTGTGAACACAAATATCAGCTTGACACGTGTGTGGGGTCATAGTCCGTGCAAAACGTGTGAGTTAAGAGTGAAGAGAAGGGAGGTTATTACTTTTTTTCTTTTCTAGGTTTATCTTCCTTTAATTTTTTTTTGCATGGTTTGAGATTATGAAATAATTGTCTGCATGAAGAATGTGTGACGTAAGACTACCAAGCCTCTCTACTTTAACTTCCAGGTCGTCGGGTACAATCGCACGCGGCGAGGTTGTAGTGGGCACAAGGAGGTTACAGTAAACTCCAAGAGTGCAGAGCTGTTAAAGTACTTTTAAAAAGGTACTTAAGTACAAATTTAAGTACAATCTAAAATATGTACTTAAGTACAGTAAAAGTACTTTCCTGTAAAATGTACTTAAGTACAACTACTTTTTAAAAAAGTACTTATAAGTACATTTTGAGTACTTTCTGTTAAAATGCTAAAACACTTCAAAGCTAATGCAAAACATCATATTGAATAACATATCTAATATATTTAACAAATTAGGCCATTTATTACTAATGGTGTAAACAGTATGCAAAGCATTTGAATATACGCACTGAACGTAGGTGGAAATGGTCCGTGAAATTTAAAAAAAAGCCAGCAAACAAACAGACGCGACTAGTGAGTAAGGGATATTATGAATAGAACTTGTTTGAGCAAGACAATTTGATCAAATGTAAGTCAGTCCTAGAGGTGGGAAAGTAGGAAAAGTATCCAAAGTTGCTCTTAAGAAAATATAAAATTGATGAAAATGGCCAGCACAAAAAAAAATGGAAATGTGCATTGAATTCTTCATTAACAAATCCTCAAGGAATCAAAGTAGCCTTAAGCACAAACCCCCCAAAAAGTTAAAAAGAAATTTAGTTAGCCTAAAATTGTTAGATTGATATACATTGAAAACTCAAGTTTCAGCTGCAATTGATTATAATAGTGGTAAGACAGATTTTGGTCACCCTGTGTAGTCCACGGCGCCCACGGCTAACCAAAATAGGCCTTCATGTAATTTCCTAGAGTCTAGTAAGTGTAGTGTTACCAAAAAACTCTCTACTACAGTAGTCTCCGCCTAAGATCCCAGTGCTCAAGGGCAAGGGAAATATGGGATCTTAGCCGACGAAGCCAAGGAAGAATCTACAGTGACCCATGTACTGACGTGACCCCTGGGTGGGTTTATGACATATGGCGAGCAAAGAGTGGTCAACCTTGATGACCAATCACAGTAGCATGGTGGCATGAGGCATGCCATAATATTATACCGTACACTCATTAGCATAATATCGTCTGGATATCTTTATATCTATGTTTATCCAGTTGCCCCTCCCCTTTACCTGTCCAAAAATTTTAGCCTTCCATCTCTGATTGAGTCCCCCCGCCTTTGTCGTTACGTACCATTACGCTGTGACCACACCAATTAAAATTCAGGCTGTCTGGCAAATTCGAGAATAGAGAAAAACTGCCTTCAACTTCAATGGACAGGGAAGAGTTCACAGTTCGATAATAAGATCCTGCCTGGAGCGAACTTGTAGGCCCTACCCATCAAACTAGTGAAGTAAGTTCCGGTGGCGAGCTCAGAATATGCGAGTGCGATGTTTGGGGAAAGGAAACGCATCGGTCAGTTCACACCTCGGTGTGATCCCGCCTGGGGATCATTGTACCGTTTCATGGAGTTTTACAACGCTTATGATCACATTCACGAGAGTGGCTGATCTTTGACGCGACGGGCAATTCTTTGATCTCAACTTTTAACTTTCGGTTGATCGGCTGTGCCCACCCGTGTGTTTGTTCCCTAAATTATGATCAGAAATGCCGCATTTACTCTTTCATTAAGCTTCAAAAGTACTCAAAATATACTTTAAAAATACTCAAAAG